AGTGTTCCCAAGAGGGCAGAGTCCAGCAGACACTAGGTGGCAATTAGGAATGCAAAGGGTTTGAAGACCAGGGAAGACAAGGGCAAGGAGAGGAGGCAGGATTCAGAAGCAGGAAGCAACAGCAGGTCTGACAAACACCAGCTGAAACAGGGACTGCAAAGTACAGGCAACCTTCAGGGGAGCCTGCATTAGACAAAATGGCGGGGTCCCTGTACATCCTCACAGCACAGCAACTGGTCCAAGCCATCCTGAGAAGGCTGCATTGACCCCCAGCCCTGCTCAAAAGCTAAAGAGTAGTTGAAGGAGTTAATAGCCAGGTAGACTTTCCAAGTGGGCCTAGAAGGAGGACCTAACCAGCAATCTGCATCTCCATGGTGGGGGTTGGGAGAATGACAACACACCATCTAGAAAACAAGACCCCTAAGGGACCCAGCTATCCAGCTATCTGGAAGTTGTACCCTGCACTCCACTGGGTAACTATGTCCCTGGATATGGTAATTTGTGTCCCCTGCCCAATCTTCAGTGACTGTCTTGGTGCAACAGTACTGTACAGAATAAGGGATGACACATCTGGGGGCCCGTGGCCGTCCCCCTTCTCATCACCACTCAGATGCCCACATCTCAGCCCCTATACAGACACCACAGAAGTGTCAAGGGTGGAGTTCCCACAGGTGCCCTGAGAGCGCTGAGACCACTCACGATTTGGGAATTAAAAATCCTCCAACCCACATTCCTTGCCAAACACAACAGGAGGCAGGAGTCCTGGGCCCGAGAGGAAAGAGAAGCCATGTGTCTGTTTTATATGATTCTTGTGCCTGCTGCCACTCTGCATTCCCAAAAAGGCCCTGAGCAAACAACACTGGATGGATGATTCCTAAACAGTTCCCAAACTGCCTAAGAATAGGGCAATCAGGGAAACCATGGGACACTAGCCACTGACGAAGCTAGACCATAGAGTTTATGAGATTCTAAATGGAGCAATTTCTCACAAAATTAATAATCCATTACATTTAAATCGACACCTCCAGATCCATTCACTGTTTTGTTTGGGGATTTTTCTTTCGTAAAGTAAATTAGTTTCCATCATTTAAAAATCAAACAGTTCCTATTAACATCCAGACTGCTGACTTCTATTTAAAAAAAAAAAAAAATGCTAGCATCTGGGGAGGCTGGACCAGTGAGGGTGGAAGAGGATGCTCCTGGGCCTTGAGTCTGCAGTTGAACGAGGCCCACCAACCACTATAGGCTCCCCACCCTGAAACCCTGGAGGTGCTGCCATCATTCAGTGAGCTTCAGCCAGCAACCAAAGCTTAGGTCAGTCCAGCTACCTCTGCAAAATGGCAGGTCAGCAGATAAACTCTGTTCAGAAGAGCAAATCCACCAAACTAGTCAGATGTCTCTAAAGGCAATTTGGCCATAGCCATCCACTTTTGACACAAGATACAAAAGTATTTGCACCAAACACAAGCACATGTCCAGCCAAGGCTATTTACAATAGTGTTATTAGAAATAGAGGAGCACTAGAAGCTGCTTAAGTGGTTCCCAATTGGACATTGGCTAAGTAAACTGTGACATATCCACACACAATAGAGTCTTAACATTTATTTTTAAAAGAGTAATAATAAAGTAGATCAATTACACATCATTCAGGACACTATGCCAGAAGATGTTTTAAGAAGTAAATCAAGAGAGTCCAACATAATGGTTCAGTGGCTAAATCCTCACCTTGTAAGCACCAGGATCCCAAATGGGCATCGGTTCATGTCCTAGCTGCTCCACTTCCCTTCCAGCTCCTTGCTTTTGGTCTGGGAAAGCAGTGGAGGATGGCCCAAAGCTTTGGGACCCAGCATTCATGTGGGAGATACATACGAGGTTTCTGGTTCCTGGATCCTGACTATTGGTTTTGGATCAACTCAGCTTGGTTCCAGCCGTTTCAGCCACTTGGGGAGTAAACCAGCAGACAGAGGATCTTTCTCTCCTCTCTGTAAATCTGCCTCTCCAATAAAAATAAGTCTTTTCTTTTTTTTAAGTGAAAGCAAGAAAGATGGAAGGAAAGGGAAAAGAAAGAAGTATGTAAGGGGTAGATGTGGTAGTTAATATGGATGTGGTAGTTAATAAAATTTAAAAGGTTAAGATGATGCTTACAACACCCACACCCCACATCAGAATACATGGGTTCAGTCCCCACTCCATTTCCAATCCAGCTTTCTGTTAATGAGCACCCTGGGAGTCAGCAGGTGATAGCTTTAGTGCTTGGCTCCCTGACATCCACATGGGAGATTCAGATGGCATTCCAGGTTCTTTGCTCTGACCTGGTCCAATCCCTTAAGTGGCAGGCATTTTTGAGAGTGAACCAGTGCATGGAAGAATCTGATCTCTCTTCTCTCTCTCTTTCCCTCCCTCTCTCTCAGCCTTTAAAAAATAACTTTAAAAAAGACAAGACTAGTACCATGATATAGCAAGCCATGCTTCTGCCCATGGCACCCCATCTGGATACTGGTTCAAGTCTTGCTTGCACCACTTCTGATCCAGCTCCCTGCTTATGATCTGGGAAAGCAGTGGAGGATGGCTCAAGTCCTAAGGCCACTGTACCCATGTGCGAGACTCAGAGGAGCATCCTTGCTCCTGGCTTGGAATCAACTCATTACGGCTACTTAGAGAGTGAACCAATAAACTGAAGATGCTTCTTTTAAAAAGTCTTTTTTTTTTATTATTTTACTTTGATTGAAAAGGCAGATATACAAATAGAAGGAGAGACAGAAAGGAAGAGCTTCCATCTACTGCTTCACTTTCCAAGTGGCCACAATGGCCAGAGCTGAGGTGACCCGAAATCAGGAGCCAGAAACTTCTTCTGGGTCTCCCACACGGATGCAGGGTTCCAAGGCTGTGGGTCATCCTCTACTGCTTTCCCAGGCCACAAGCATGGAGCTGGATGAAAGTGGAGCAGCTGGGACACGAACCAGCACCTATGTGGGATTCCAGGTGAGGATTTAGCCATTGGGCTATCGCACCAGACCCCAATGGAAGATCTTTCTTCTCACCTCTTCTGTGTAAACCTGCCTTTCCAATCAAAATAAATAAATCTTTAAAAGAAGAGAAAGAGAAGAAGCAAGTAATTGGGAGACCAGTAAAAGGGAGTCACAGAAGGAAAATGCATGTCTTCTTTTACATTTTCCACAAATTTTTGAAGTTCCTCTGTATGTTTAGTGTCATTCTATTTATGGGAAAGATTTCCTAGGAGAAAAATACATGCCAGTGGACAGAAAATTCCTACAAGGATACAAAGAGTAAGAGCTATATAGGGATCAGGTAAAATAAGCATAAGGGTGTTACTCGCTACATTTCACAGTTTTCTGTCCTCTTGTGAAGTCCTGAGCACATGCTACTTTTGAGAATTAAAGACATGTTAATAACTAAAAATAACACACTGGCCCTAAAAGTAAAATTCTAATTCAGAATTTCTAGGAAAATCAATTTCTAGGAAAACCCCAACCACATCATCCAAAATGACACTGATACTGACAGTGAGTCATGATTCCACAGAGGGAAAGAAAAATGGCCACCTCACTAGATCAGAAACACCCAAGAAAGAGCAGGAAAAACCACCACCCAACACCTGCCAACACTTGGAAGGTCGGCGCTCAGTCCAAGGTTCCTATTAACTTTCTTGCTATTATCTCTACTTGGCTCTGATCCTAACCTCACACCAGCCTGCCTCACTGTTCCAGCCTGACCTGTGTCCATGAATGCAGGATCCAATGACCAGTCTAGGACAGTGAATGCAAAACATAGGACTGAGATGCCATCCCAGGTAAATGCCACCCCAGTCAGCTATTACAGAAGATGGAAGTAGAGCCCCTAAATTCACAAAGGCATTTCCTCACGAGAGGCAGATGGCACCACCTCCATACAAAAACAACCTCATTGCCTACTGACGTTCCCATTGCAAAAAGATACACCCACGCACACATGCATTTTCCTTAAAGATTTCCCATTCCCATCTCCAACAAGCCAGCTTGATGAGGAACCTGAGATAGGAACTTTCAGAGCTCTTGCCTTCCTTCTGCCCTTTTTCCATTGCTGGAGTCCCTCCATAATGTTCCCCATACTCTCCCCAAAGAAGCAGTGTGGTAGATCAGGCACAAACCCTGTCCAGATAAAGAGTTTTATGCCATAATTCGTTGGCCTTTGAAGCATGGTCTCCTTTCCCCTCCTGCCAACTTCAGCCCCTGGGCCTGACTTGTGTTTCCCTAAAAGGGCAAGGAGGGAAGAAGGGGGAGTGAGGCGAGGTCAAAACCTACCCAGTAGGACCGTCCTATGACCCCAAGCCCTGAGGACCTCCTGCTGCGACTCCCCCTGCACACCCTCCCACGGCTCTATGCACCACTGGAGACGGAGTGGCCGGGAAGGGTTCCCAGCGTGCATTAGCTTGTGATAGGGGAGGAGGAAGAGGAGCATGGAGCCCTCCAGCTCGGTCAATAATTCATGAGGCTCAGACTGAGGGGCACCCGTCAGAGTCAGTTTTCCCTGGACAAGGGGAAAAAAATGAGACTTCAGCTCTCTGATCTCATCAGGATGTGCTGAGTCCTCCAACTGCAAGTTCTCAGTCGAGGAGTAAACTCTGGATACAGGGTCTGCCTAGTACACCACTTGCTGGCCACACCACCCCCCTTCTAAATGAACTCCACTCCCTGCCATTCTGCCGGCCCACACACATAATCAGTGAGCCTTTAGCAGGTGCGAATTCTATGAAACAGTCGCCTCTAGCCCTGGCTTTCACAGACCGGGATTCTCTATCTCCTCTGACAACTGGTGATTTTCACCAACAAACAACACTCCTCTAAGCTTATCCATCTGCTTTTCATCCTCTTTTCTCAGGAAAAAAATAAAAGGCTAACAAGAGAGAGAAAGAACAAAAACACATTCCAGAATAAAATACTATTGGTTAAGTGAAACAAGCTCAGCTCTGTGAAACTCGCTATACTCTTCAGATTACTCACTTTGCCTGGAACCTGCGAAGAGGGTGCCATGGCCCAGCCATGCGTCTCAGTCTGGTGTCTGAAGGCTCCTGGGTTAAACCAATTCAAACACTCACACTTGGGTCTGCTGGGGCCATTCTATGATGCACCATAAAGCCATCCAGAGCTATTCTTCCTCCCAGGAACCCAGGAGGGAGATCATTTCAGCCCACTTGGCAGACATGGAAGCTGAAGTCTGGAGATAGAATTTATAAGCGGTAAGGACTTTATTCATCATCTATTCCACATCCTCAGCTCACAGATGAAAAGTCAGGCCTGTAGCAACAAAAATAATAATAATAATAATTACTAGATGGTGGCAATAATTACTGCACATTTAGTTTACAGTTCATAAAGCACTTTTGCATTCAACAAATATTTATTGAACCAGGTTAGTGGCTAAGACCTGGGGGAATACAGACATCAATGAGAACATGGGTACCCCTTGGGCTTCTGTCTTTCCACCCCAGGGTGAGGGACCCTCTAGCCTCCTGGCTGCCTCTTTGCCCCGGGGTCCAGGGTCTAAGACACCTGCTCAACCAAGATCTCTAACCCTGCACAGTGGCAGTGGTTACCATGGTGACCAGAATCTACCCTCCAGGGGGTTTAAAGTCGGAAAAGATCTTAAGCCAGAGGGAAGGCCAGTGCCAGGTCTAAGCCAGGTACTTCCCATCACTTTCCTCTCCCAGACTCCTCTGCCCTCACAACCGTGAGCACTCACAGCCCCAGACGCACCATCCCCCCCAAAGAGGCGTAGACAAGAGAATATGCAAGGAGGAGCTGGGGCGCGGGACGTTCCGCGGGTGCCTGCAGCAGGAGGATGAGCCTGGGCACCGCCATCCTCCTGTTGGGTTGCGAGACGCGGCGGCTGGGCGCCGGCAGGGGGCGCCGACGGCTGGGGCGGCCGGCCAAATCGCCAGGCGAGCCGCCCCCCGCCCTGCCCCTTGTCCCCCGGGCGAAGTGCAGCAAAGTCCAGCCCTGCCGAGCTTTGCCATGCAGAAGGCGCAGGTGTTGCTGAGTGGCTGCGCCCGGACGTGGAAGTCAGTGCGGATGGCCAGCTCCGGGGCGACCCTTCGGAACACACTGGCGAATAAGGTGGCCATCGTAACGGCCTCCACCGACGGGTGAGTGCCCGGGCCGGCGTCTCTGGGGCCCTCGCTGGCTGGAAATAGAGACTGACCTCTCAATCCCTGCCCCCTCAGGCCTCACTCGTGGCCCACGTTCGGCCCTGGAAGTGGAAAGAGAAACCACGTGGTTGGCCTGAAGCGTCTCCCTATCCCCTCTGGTCCCTGAGGGTCTGTCCTTGTGTCACTGCTGCCCCGCTGCTTCCCTGTTTCCCCGTCCAGTGTCGGGTGCTTTGGCGTGCCCCGACTCACAGCCCCATCTAGAGGCTGGGAAGACCAGAAACCCGAGACAGGCCAGAGTTCAAAAATCCCTTGTCCTGCCTGGGTTCACCAGGCAGCAGACTGGTTTGGCTCAGCACATCGTGGCCTACCCGGTCCAGCCAGGGTCTCACCCTTGGGTCTTGTCCATCCGATGTGCCCAAGCCACGGGACACCGCCAGAAGGAAGACACAAGTGTATGTCCCAGGCTCATGAGCAACAATTACAAAATGTGCTCCCAGGGCAAGACAGTCATTTCCTTCCTGGTTCACAGGCACCAGGCGACATTACTGACTTTAGGACCTGGAGAATATTGTAGACCAGCAAGGGAGATGTTTGGAGCAAGGGAGGCCCGTAGACCATGACATTTCCTGCTGCTGCTGCTTTTGCTACAAGCTCAGTGCAGGCCTGTGCAGGTGGCGCCTGAGGCTGAAGGCCAAGGTCACACATCACAAGCCAAGCCAGCATGCAGAAGGCTGTGTTACTGAGCCTTCTTCACATCTGAGAGACACACAGGGCGGTGCTGTGTTCCAGAGAGCTGGAACGCAAGCCTGGGAAGCCACCTGCTGTCGCCAGGCTCTCCGGCAGGCTATCACAGCCTTGGGTTCTTGTCCCCCTCCGCCCGCAGGATCGGCTTGGCCATTGCCCGGCGTCTAGCCCAGGATGGGGCCCACGTGGTCATCAGCAGTCGGAAGCAGCAGAACGTGGACAGGACCGTGGCTGCGCTGAAGCAGGAGGGGCTCAGCGTGTCAGGCACTGTGTGCCACGTGGGGAAGGCAGAGGACCGGAAGCGGCTGGTGGCCACGGTAAGCACCAGGGTATTGGCATAGAGCCAGGAGGCAGCAGAAGGGAGCCAGCCTGAGCCTTTTTCGTCGCTTTCCTGAATCCAGTGCAGCACTGCTGGGTAAAGCATCTGGTGCATTCCAAGTCTCCAACCAGCCCACCAGCACATTTCTACTGCACGCCTTGCTCTTCCATCACTATCCTCAAGTCAGAATCATCCCAGCCCACGCTGAGACCCCAAAAGCACTCTCATATTTCATCCTACATCCCTTGGATTATCCCCTCAAAAAATACACAGCTGGTACTGGTATTTTCCAGTAACTTCCAATCTAACTGGATAAGAAAAAATTTTTAATGTAGGTGTTAACCTCCATGAGCTAACAAAATATATCCCCCATTCTTCAGCTTACACAGCCCCTGAGAACTTACCACTCATGTATGAATCACCTACTGTGTGTACAGCCTTACACAGCTGCTCTCTAACCCTGGCAGCAACCCACGCAAGGGCAACCTTATTCTTCCTGTTCTCATAGAGAGGCTGGCTCAGGCACCTGGAGCCACTGCCCAAGGTCCTGTAGCCAGTAAGGAAAGAGCTGTGACTCAAGCCAGGGCTGCTATATTCCCTTCTTATGCTGGTTGCCCACTGACGATCAGCACTTCCTGCACTCCCCACCCATCCCTCCCCACAGGATAGCATCAGGGCTCAGGTACCCATCTGGACATTGGTCTCAAAGGCAATGCCTATGCCAGAGTCTGAGCTAGCACTTAGCACCAGCCTTCTGGTTGCACAAGAAAATATGCAAGATCCAGCCAAAGAGGCCCCTGTTCCCTGAAGGCTCAGGACACATTTTATCCCCTAACATACAAGGGAGACTCTACCTGAGTGGGAAGTATGAAGTTGTGCTAATGAAGTAGGAGATTGGCAGAAATCATCTGGATAAGCTTTGAAGAAGAGGCTGCATGAACACCATGGGAAACAGCAGCCTCTTCACCTCCCACAGGAGCCGAGACATCCTTGTAAGAAATAAGAAACCATGTGAGAAGAACTTTGAGGTCTTGGGTTTTGTTTTGAGGGGTTTTTGTTTATTTGTTTGTTTGTTTTATTTTATTTTGTTTTTGTTTTTGTTTTGAAAGGCAGGGAGAGAAAAAAAAAAAAAGAATGAGAGATCTTACATCTGCTGGTTCACTCCCCCAAATTCCTGCAAGCAGGCAGAACTGGGCTAGGCTGAAGCCAGGAAACAAGAGCTCCTTCTCAGTCTTTCACCTGGATGATAAGGACCCAAGTCCTTGAGCTGCCAGCCAGAGACCCCATTAACACACACCTGAATCGAGAGCAAGGGAGCTAGGACCCGAGACAGGATTTTTGCATCCTCTGTGGGAACTTCACTGTGATGCCTGATGCTACCCCCTTGGGAGGTTTGGAGCAAAATGGAAGTGGTTCTGGAATGATAGAGAAGACTCCCAGGTCAGGGCATTTGTGAGGAAGCTGTTGTCACGTATAGAATGGTGATGCTAGGACACAAAGATGTGCCCAAGAGGCACTAATGGGAACCAGCAAGACTTCCCTAAACCTCACATCAAGAAACCAGAAGTAGGAGTGTAAGCCAAAATGGCTGACAGATGGGCAGTCTGCAGGACCCGTATTGGCATGCAGAGTGATGGGATACTCGACAGCTAGTCCCCATGTACCCTACCTCTTGCCTGCAGTATTCCCTGCAATGAGGAAGGCTGCTGCCCTTGAACAGTCATTACCCAGCAGCCTCTTCCTCCCCACTACAAAGCTTCTCAACAACTGGTCAGTAGAAGCCAGATGAACCACCTTTCCATTTTATCTCCACTCTCCCCAAAAAGAAAAATGAGAGGCAAACAACTCATAACTATTCTTCACCCATATCCCACATGGCACCAGAGAGCCTAGGTTCATCTCCAGCTCTGTCCCCAGCTCCAGCTCCCTGCCAATGCAGATCCTGAGAGGCAGTGGTGATGGCTCGGGTCATTGGATTCCTGCCACTCACATAGGAGCCCTGGATTGAGTTTCCAGGCTCCAGCTCCATCCAGTCGCTGGCATTGGGGAATGAACTAGGGCATGGACTAGCTCTCTTAGCTCTCTAATTCTCACCCTCTCTCTCTCCCTCTCAAATTTTTTATATAAAAAAAAATAATAACGTACCTATGACACCTGGGTGTTAATAGGTGCCTCTCTAAATCATCCTTCATGATTCTTTGTCAGCTTTTTTTGCCTCTGTGTGCCAAAAAAAAAAAAAAAAGACAGGCAGAGGGCAGGTGAGTCTGTAGCAGGGGCAAGAAGTTATGCAGCTGACTGTGGTGCAACCTGCTGCCTTGTCCCCATCCCAAACAAACATATTTGAAACGTACACAGCACCCATCACTTCTGACTTCTTCTGTACTTCCCTCACGTCAAGGTCATCCTCCTAGGCCAGGCTTAAACAGAGCCCATGCAGGAGATGGGACTCTGCACCAGGACAGCAAACTTCAGAGGGCGTGAGAAGGTGCTAACACTGCTGTTAGGAGGGCCAGGTGACTGTCCATGTCATGCAGCTTACATGTTGGCAGCCTCCACAATCCTTCAGCCGTGAAGAATCAACCTCGCTTAGCACCTCATTGGCAAGAATAACGCACTAAGACGGGAAGCTGGCAGATGGTACTCGTGGCTGATGCCACCCCTCTGTGCACCACATCTGAAACGCAGAATACAGTAGACGGAGGGTCCATTTAGTGCCAGAGCCCAGGGCATCAAAATTGCCAGTTTGGGGTAAATTCCAAGTCTGATTTCAGGTTAGCTTAGGATGGAAAACCCTCCGTAGCAGATTCCGCTGTGCCATTCATTACTCTAACATGTTACTTCCCCCAACTACTTACAACTTACGACAGAGGTGAAATGTAGCCCTGGCTTCCACAGTTTCTGTTTTCCCAGTTCAAGGTTTCTGCCTTGAACCTTCTGTGCAAGCAGGGAAGAGAGGGAGAGAAAAAGAAAAGAGAAGTAACTGAATGTGGAATTGCTCTTAAAACCTAGGTTGGCATCTTCCCATCATGGGTCTCCTGGGCAGCCAGTTTCATAACACTCCAACTCACCTTCAGAGGACTCTTTGCATCAGCTCTGTGCTACAAAGCAGGAAGCTGACCTGTTCTGCCCCCACTGACTAGCCTCTAGCCCTGAACCGATTTATTCGGCTCTCCCAAACACCAGATGAGCAGGCCTGTTCTTAGTCATTTGTGAGCTCTGCAAATATGACCTTAAAAGGTCAACTTCTCTTGCCCCTCGGGTGCCTCTCCCCAACTGTGAGGACATCAGGCCAGCCAAGCTTAAAGGGCCATCCATTCGAAAGCATGGACAGGTTGACTTTGACCCCGTGACCACACATTCAAGGAGAACCAGACAAGCAGGACTTGGAAACTGGAGCTGGGAGTCGATGTGAAAAGGAAGAGGGTCTCAAAATAGATGTTGAAGTGAGAGTTAAAGCTGTGAACTTGAAGGAGCTCTCCAAAAGGGAAAGTATAAAGAAAGGAGCAAAAGGACTCAGCAACAGCCTTTGAAGAAGAGAAAGCAGGAAGAAAAGACAGAAAGAAATCAGACGACATGAGGTGGTCAACTCAGAGCTCAGGGTAGCTCAGGAGAGAACGCGTTTCAAGAAGTGCCTGTCACCTTGGCGACTGTTGCTTTATCAGCATTGCGCCATGCTCCTTCCTCACTCTCCTGTAGGGCTTACTCTGATCTTACTCCTCCCACCAGGCTGTGAACCGCCACGGAGGTGTTGATATCCTGGTATCCAACGCTGCCGTCAACCCTTTCTTTGGAAACCTGATGGATGTCACTGAGGAAATATGGGACAAGGTGAGAGGGGACTCAGGATAGCAGGGAGCAGGCCTCAGAAGGTGTTCAGCACTCAGGCTGCTCTTAGGATGCAGCTGTCAAACCACATGTTCAGTGCCACGTGCTGAACACCTGGAGCGCACCTGATCAAGGGCAGGTGGGGGCTGGCTTCCTCTGCCCTTCTCTTTCCTTCCTTTCACTCCCAGTTCTGTCTTCCATTTGCTCTTCACACTTACCTTCTGCTTCCTACTCCCTCAATGCACTCTTCTTGGTTTATATCCAGTAGAGGCAGGGTAGCTAATATGCCAATAACCAATACAGTTAAACTTACACACCCACTCATCCCGTTCACAAGC